GTTGGTTTAGAAACAAGAGGGAATCCTCAATAGCGGCAGCTGTAATTAGATCTCGAATCGATCAAGAGATGAAGCTATGAGCTAAAAGTTTGTACTTGAAAATAAACTCAGAGCCATTCTATGAGCCGCGACTAAAAATTGGATAGAAGGTTGGGTTACTATGGCTGACGTCACTGCGTCGAAACTTTTTGAATAATTTCTATTTTCGATTAGAAAATAAGGTGTAGAAATATGTAAGAAAAAGTTAAGTCAAGCATTAAAATTTTTACAAGTTACTGACATTTCTGTAAAAGAGATTGAGAACTTAGAAATTAACAACGTGAAAAGAGTTACTCAATAATAATTTAGGGAAAATATTAACACAGTCAATTACATCAGTTACTGCATTTTATATCTCAAAACATAACCTTCTAGCTCTTACTCTAAGAGCTATATCAAATTTATAATGAATGACTGAAAACTTACATAAAAAATAACAGAAAAATTTCTGTTTGATGAAAACATGCTGTAGAGTTTATAATTAATCAATAACTAAGCTTTTCATAGATGATATTAAATCTCCCCCGGTTTGTGAGCGGTAAATTTACGGACTTACAACGCTAGATTAATTAATTTTTCATGTGAGGTGTTATTGCAATTTGGTCTCGATAAGTTATTGCTGTGTTTCGTAATAGAATTAGGCTGTACTAGTAAGTTGGTTTACAATAAATCACAACAGGCCTAACTAACCGTGTATTTTATACAGAGATCTAACACTAATTTAAAATCCAATATTTTTTGTATATACTTATAATGTATTTGTTTATTAGTAGTTAAGGTTAGACTTATTAAAACTTATCATAAACCTACCTTGTGGGCAATGCTTATTGGCCATGACATTTAATTTCAGTACGTTGATGATATTAGACTAAACTCTAAAGTGACTGGATATTCTGGAGTCCAAAGCGAGACACCTAACTGATGAATAAAAATACATACCATATTATTATTATACTTTTCGTTAGATATTATTTTCTTTAACAAATCAGGAGTGCATTTGGGAAACATGCAGTAGAAAAGAGTGACATTCATGAAAAATACATACCATCTAATCATTACCATTCTTATTTGAGGATATTTTCTTAAACAACCTGAGAAATGTTTTGGCAAGCTGCAGTAGAAAAAATTAATAAAGGTGTCTGTTGTATACAATAAACGATGCAATTTTCTACAGTTATAATTAACCTAGACATGAGAATTATTTAACAAACTTGCCTGAAAAAATACTAAATTTTATTTAAGATACTGATATAATGCTAGTGTGTCTGTAAGCGAAATATTACAGTAATAACTGTATATAGACCGATATAAGCTGCAAAACTTCGAGACATAACAGAGTTGAATATAAATTGTCAAATATATTTTGGACATTCAGCGCATATCCCGAAATAAAGCAAATTAATTTCATATTGTTTTGTCAGCTATAACAATATTAATTTGTACTGAACGCAATATATACGACATTTCAATGATTTCATTATATATAGGCCAATGGCTAACGCCTAACGGTGTTTTATGAGACAAGTTAATTTCATATATTACATCCTCGATAAGTATATGATTATTTATGTATTTGAATGTTAATATATGAAAATAAAGGATATTTTACGAGGATAGGACAAATCTTATATGCAGTCATAGTACGGTAGTGCTTACCGATATTAATTTTGATAATGCGGGACATTTAAATTCATTATCTCCCAAAGCTGGATATTTTCGCGTCTCTAAAAGTTTCTGGGAAACAGCGGGCCAGGCAGCTCGAAAACGAGACTGTCCCGCCGAAATCGAGACGTCTGGTCACATTATATTAGACTGAGTAAAAGATATTTTTTGAATAATAAAACAGGTGGTGATAAAATATTTATGGAGTTTTTGAGTCTTTTTTAATTCACCATATAGTAATCTAAATTTAAGTGTGTGAATAAAATTAAGTCACAGTTTATATTTTCAATTTTACCTGGAAGGAAAAGAACTCTGTAATATAATAATTAAACAGTTAGTGATAAAATAGTTATGAAAATACCAGTTCAAAGTTACGATACTATTTCAATGAATAATTGGTGAATTCAGTTAAAACTTAATATTACAAAGGAGAAACTAAGTAACCTTCAGCAACATTATGGGAAGCCAAGTAACCTACGACAACTTCAAGAGAGGTCAAGTAACCTACGACAACTTCAAGAAAGGCGGAATAACCTACGGCAACTCCAAGAGTAGCCAAGTAACCTACGACAACTTCAAGAAAGGCGGAATAACCTACGGCAACTCCAAGAGTAGCCAAGTAACCTACGACAACTTCAAGAAAGGCCGTAACTTACGGCAACTTTAGGAAAATCCAAGTAACCTACGGCAACTTTAGAAAAAGCGACGTAACCTACAACAAGTTAAGAGAGGCCAAGTAGCACAGGTAGTTTTGTAGTTTCTAAGGTATTGGGTCACCTAAACTACATGAACTAGAAGCTTCGTTTCACTTTTTTAAATATTGAGTTTAAAACAATGTTAGGTTAAATGTGAAAACAAAATCAATATCTGTCATACAGCAAGAAAAATCACCAAAGTAAGACAAAAATTTACTCCTCCTTCATATTTGTTTCTGCTATGTTTTCCAATACAAATGCAGTGACTTTTGAAACATCGTATCTGCATGACACGACATTCAAACTTTCACAAAATTATAGTGTTTCACGATGCTTCATTTTAGGCTGCAGATAAAGCACATGTTTCTAAACATGGACCTCGCCAGCTGCATGACGTGGTTTTAGAGAATAGCC